TCGATCTCAACCACATGTCCCTTCGCCCATAAATGTGCTACTCAACACTGGTCCGACTGCTCCTTTCAAGTAGGCGTCAGGCAGACTCTCTGAAGCCCTTCAGAGGCTTCAGCTGCGTCCTTGGGTCGTCACCACGCCCGAACAAACAGTAAGGTCATCCTCCTGGGCTATGGGCTTCTGGTAGTGCTCAACCCACAGCTTGCCTCAGAACTTCCCAACGTGCAGATTGACACAGGCACACACACTGTGAGACGACAATTCGCACCTTGGTCTCCCAGGAAGAACAAGAACCAGGCCCTGAGATGCAGCACAGCACTGGGACTTTTTAAGATATCCCGGAAAGTCCCCACCTCACATCATCCTTCACCTCGTCCAAGTCAAACTGGTACCTGCATGTCAGCTGAAGTCATTGCCTCAAGCTTCCATCCGCGATCTGAATCCAAGGACCTTCAAGATTCGGCGGCTTCGAGAAAACTCCGGGGAGGGCACGGATTGAAGACGAATGGCCCATAGAGCCACGAAACGATCGTGATCCTGCATGGTTTGCATGCATCATGCAGCAATCTTCGGCTGACACCTGACATCCGATTCAGATGACTGGTCCCGATGGCAAGCCAGGTAAAGCCCAGGCTGGAAGCTTGACCACCAGCATCCGAGATGCCACCCAGGAGCAATCTGGCAGTTCAAAGGCGGCAGAAACGGCCTAGGCACTAGCATGCGGGGAGCCGAGGCAAGCACACTGCGATGCAGCATAGAAGAAGGCGCATCCCATCGTAGTAGGTATACCTCGAACACTGGAAACTCCAAGACAGCTCATAGGGACTTTGCGAGGGCCCCGCATGGCATAATCGAGATACAGCCCGCCAACCTGGCACCAAATCTTGCAGCCTCTCACCCTTTACACGAGAATGAAGTGCTTTCTGAATGATCAGGGGGACGAGGACCTTCGTCAACTTCTTGGGGCCGTCCGGCTCGTGGGCATCCTCAGACACCGCGATGACCAAAAGCCACCGGACTACCGTCGCGGTGTATTCTGCCTGCTGCATCGCGAGCACATGCAGGTAGGTCGCAAACTGCCGGCCGAATCTCGCCGATGAAAGGCCGGCGGTAGGTCGGCAGACCACGACCAGTTGCGACATACTGGGCACCTGTGAGAACGAAGTGCTCCGTAATTCTGTCTGCACGCTTCCCAGTTCAGCACATCTTGCGCGCTTTCAGGCCTCCGTAGCGCAACTCGTTCACCACCTTAAGACAACATAGAAACTGCAGTTGGCACAACATCACCTCTTTCTGTCAATCGAAGTCTTACCAAGAGCAGGACATAGTATCCAATGATTTTGGCCTGGAACACGAACATCAAGAAGGACAAAGTCAGGTACCTCAAGCAGAGCTCATTCTCTGTAAAAGTGCTGTGCGATTTGTGAGGCTTGGTGGGGCACTGCTTGCCCAATCTCCACACTGCGTGGCAAAAGCTCCTGTCAAGACTGCGTTGGCTCACTCCATACGAGAAGTTTCGGTTAAACAGGAAAACTCCGGTTGGAAGAACGAGTATGATTCCGCCCGCTTCACATTAGCATCGTGCACTTTGCACCCAAACAAGTGACCAGCATCTGGCACTGCCGGCATGCACACGGGACACAGTGAGAGAACCGCATGCCGACTCACGCCCCCGTCCTCTCCATCCAAGACTCTGCAAAGAGGGGCATGGAGGTTGCGACCAAGAACAGGAAAATCACCTCAGAGGCCACGTCACGTGCCCTCTGGCGGGGTCCTTCTCACTGCGGCTTGGCTAGGCGAGGCAGGAGGAATGCAAGATCCTTCATAAGCCCGTGGGCGGGTATGCCACTAACGCCTCTTAGGCAGCTGCCCACGAGTACCAGACCGACAACAGGTTGGCCATTGCCTGCCGTCAAACGGTTGATAGAAAGAGATGTGCTGCAAGGCGCACATGATGTTGCTGTTCTCAGTGCAAATCTGCTAATCCTTCACCCTGTCCTGCTCCCTCGCTTGCAGCCAGCTGTTCTCGCCCGACCACAGATATGCCCCGCAGATCTGAATCTTTGTAATGAGAACTTGATCTGACGGCTGTAAGGCTGCGCTGCTTGTGACGGTTTCAGGCGCAGCACATTTGTCCATTGTCGTTTCCTGCTTGAGGGCCTGGATGTCCCTGACAGTGGTTGAGGCCACCATGACAGCTGCTGTCACGCAGCAAGGCCGCACAGCATGCAGCTTGTTGTGGAGAATCCTCGCTCCAATTATAGACCGTGTCGTTTCAGGCGATTTTCTGCGAGTGCGTGAGGCCTCTTGCATGAGACAAAGGCCTTTAACATCCAGGAAAGGCTGAAGCAGGATCTTCTGTGTGGCTTTCTGAAGGTGAGTAGGATAAGTGTAAGTGTAGGTGTTGTTACAGTCCTCGCCCAAACCGCTGCCCCTGGCCTGGGCAGCAGGGACTGTCGGACCTGCAGACGACGAGCAAGGCGTAAGCGCGTGGGCTTTGTTCATGCATGATACAGGTGTCTGTGCATGTGCAAGAGATACCTCGCCGAGACAAGCAAGGGCGCTGTAGAGTTTTGCTGCCGAGATACAGTAGTTCTCGAAGACTCGAAATGTTTGCTCGCCTCTGCTAGGTACGAGCCACATCCAGGAACGAATTCACCGGCTACAGGCTGAGACAGCAACAGTCGCCAGCAAGAACAACCTCTGCTCGAGTACAAGATTTCCACTGGTCCAGTTGTCGTCTTGGGGCCGCCCTGACACCGCGTCACAGCGGAAATGAGGTTCCCACCATCCACGCGAAGACCTGAGTTGCATAAGGACTTGGCTTTCCCAATGCGGAGCCTCATCATCTGTTTTAAATCCCTCAAGGGTCCGGGCAAGAGTCGGCATCGATGCCGACACCAAGCCTTGCGTGATGTAATAGCCAACGTGGGCATAGTAGAAGGTCAGTGCTTCCGGCAAATGAAGAATCTGCCCAAGGCGGAACATTTGCCTCAGATCCCGGAGAGCACATTCCAGGTCGCCGCAGTGAGTTGTTGCCGGCCCTCTGTTAGTATGCAGTGCGAATGTGCCGATTTGTCCCGAGCAGCGGTTTTACTCTCACTTGTACAGCCGGATTACTTCAAGTTGGCTACCATCGCTCTGAACCTTGCTTTCTGATTCACCTCCGGGTGCCTTACAATCTTACAACAGCACGATGATTGTGCAAGTTTATGATGTTCTCAAACACGCCATGTGATGTAGCGGACGCGGTCTGCAAAGCTGGGTTTTGTCATTTGGACGATGGTCTACATCGCAGGTGACGTAGAGCAGCACATACGGCCGATGCTGCTGTTTCATGCCCCCCAATCAAGCGGGCAGCCTTTCATGAACTCCCTTGATCCCCAAATTCAAGAAAATTCAAGAAGATTCAAGTCTAGTGCTAGTTCCCATCATGTCTTTGAACAAGTCAGTGCTATCATCGGTGTATTGGCCTCGTGAGGATCTGTTCGCCGGCTCCGGAGGAGAGCTTTGAGAAGAAGCCCAGGACGGTGTTGAAACCCAGGTCGCGCCCCTTGGCGACGTGGAAGTACTCGCAGTGCTTGATGGAGCGGCCTTGACCTCGCAGAGTGAAATCCATCCCCGCAAAGATGTCCTCGGACAAATTGATGGTCTTCGTGGCTTTGGAGACACCACCCTGCTGAATCATGAATTGCTTGTTCATGATGTCAGGGTGACCGTAATGCATTCTGGCACCCAGCACTGCATAGGTGCGCTGCAGGATCGTGCCAAAGGCAACTTCCGAGCCTGCTGCGAAGTCGCCCACGGATCCGATATCGCTGGTGATGTGCTCCGGAAGACCAATGATTTGCTTGGCCGCTTCATCTCCGCGCTCTGCCGTGCGAAATTCTCCGAGCACGCAGGGAAGCATCAGCATCTGCTCGAAGTAGCCCCCTTGGTTCGCATCAATGCATTGACTGAAGATTCCTCGTAAGAAGATAATGGCGTGATTCTGGTTGTCGCTCTTCCCATCGCCCAAGATAGGGTATCCTGGCAACTCAACCGTGAATTTGGCCGCTCTTCGACCTCCACCAATGTCCGCGCACGATCCATCGATTAAGCAGCTGAAGTAACGCCGATGTTGCCTTGGATGGACATTGTCGACCTCTGCATGGACATTCTTGTCCTTCTGATCGATGTAAGCCACCTTCAGGCTGCTCGGAAACTTGGCGAACATCTGGTTGGTGTGCTGGTATCTGACCGGCTCGAAGTTGGCGTACTGCTGCATGGACACAATGCAACTGAAACAGTCATTCGGAGTCCAAACCTGTGCCATCGCAGGCTTCCTTTCGCCAACAATCCGGCCTACACCCTGCACCTCATAGTGGCACTGCAGCGCAGGATGGTACAACATCATGCCTGCCACCGTGCGCCACAATGTCTGCAATCGCATGGACGACCAGCCACAGATTTTCTCCCACTGCTCGTCTGTGTATTCCTTTCGCGAAGCAGGGCAGGAGTGTGGCATGATCGGGAAAATCTTCTCCAACAAAGGCAAGAAGCATCCCAATTCGCTCCATGAGGCAGCTGGATGTCGGACTTGGCCTGCCGCGGAAATTGGATCGACTAATGGTTTCCTGACACTGCTCATGCCCAAAGCCTGCATCCTTGCATCGAAGTTCAACCACTCGTCCTGGGCAACCATGAACAACCATGCTAGCCTACGTCAGAAACAGGCACTTACCGGACCTCATAGCGAGCTTTCAGCCAGTCCATGAGCGGAACCTCGCATGACCAAAGTAATCGCACTTCCAGCAAGGACTGAGAAGAGGCCCTGGCGGTGTCATCAGCGCGACCACCATACAGCGAGTCCTCACAACAGCATGCTACCAAAGATAGGCTTGGCTTCTGCAAGTCTATGCTTCGTTGTGGCATCTCTGCTTTGTGGTGGCACTGTGCTGGCACACTCCGTGCTTGTTACTGCTCTGGCATGATGCCCGTGGATGCCTTTTGCTCCAATATGGTCTCGCCATAGTGCGGAATCAGGACCTGCAAGGCGCCACTCTCTGCGACGGCCAGGCTTCACTGGAGACCCCGCCGTGATGCCAGGGATGAATGGTGCCCGGAAAGGCTTTGGGATGGGCAGCCCGAGCCCACGGGACAAAGCGAGAAGCCGCCTCGGAAGACGAAAGGGACAGGGAAGGCAAAAAAAGTGGGCAGCATCCAAGCCCAACTTCTGGCATCTTCCCGCATCTAAGCCTAGAAACCACTGCACTTCGGCGTTCGCTGGCCAATGCGAGTTCGCAACCTTAAAGCTTCCGTTGGACGAACTCGGGCGTGAGACTCTGCAAGTCCGTCTCGCTGAGGCTGCGACGAAGGCTTGGCAAGCTCTTTGCACGACGGATTGCTCTTTGAAGAGATTCGGTACCTTGGTTTAAACGATTCTGGGGTTCTTGTAAGCGGCTTGCCTGCACTCGGACATTGAGACAGGAACAACAATCCGAAGCTGGGCGGAGCCGTCTTCTGCACCAGCACCGGGCCTTACAAGGCATCTGCGAGACAAGCACAGCGCAGCGGAGCTGTTCTTCTGCTGTTCTTGCCGAGGCCTACGCAGAGCTGGTTGGATGGCCTTGCTGAGGCTGCTCCACTCGATGCCCCGGGTGCTTTTCGTCATGAAGGACTGCCAGCAACGCAGCACGGCAATACGATGTCTTCCGCTAACTCCTGAAGCTTCCTCAAGGCGCGACGCCCTTCGAAGGCCTGGTCTGCCATGAACTGGTTCCCGATTTTATCTTCGTACCGCATGTACCTCAGGTCGTCGGGCATGGCATCCGAAGCGGAAGGCTAGAAAAGTGAGCCCAGCGCTCTACGATGCGGTCCCAGACCAGGGGGAACTCGCGAGCCATCTCCCTGCCCTGCTCAGAAAAAGGGTCAGTCAACTTGTCAAGATCCAGCTCGGGTCGCTGCACCTCTACATGCTTCTTGACGAAACAGAAGACCTGGACCAAGCTCTCGGCAACCAAATAATGTGTTGCAGCATGTTGCACTCCTAGGTCGATGTTCGGTGACATGTTCCTTGATGTGGAGTTTTGCATCTGTAACATCCCAACTGCTTCTGTGGCTCTCCCGCTGAGTATGTTCGCAAGTTTGTGGTGGCAGAGAAGCTGAGTGTGGGACTTTTTCGGTCATCCTTTCGGGAATCTTGGCCACGGCATCCTGCAGCCAGCGAACGGGATGCAACTTGTTGAAGATGTTGCTATCGCATCGCTCAGCACATCTCCTCGAAGCAGAAAGTGCCAATTTCACACCTGGGAGCTTACGAAACTGCAGGCTGTAGAAAGTTTCAAGTTCGCGCTCGACAGCAACCACTCAGTCCACAGATCGAGTCCCCGGCGAGCGCTGAACGAAGTAGGTGCCAACGCCGAGGAAGGTGCAACCAAGAGTGAACCACATCCTGGACAGTGTCACATTAAGTCACCGTCCATGATTGACATCAAGACGGCGCAGATCTTCGTTCTGCACAAGCCACCCTGTGTCAGCACAGAAGAGGAAGAAGGTTGTGAACCATCTCGGCTGACAAGCTGTCTTTACTCATCCATCAAGCAACACTGTGCAGCGAGGGCACAGCAAGGCCCACTCCAGCACATCCTTTCCCCAGTCCACGCCTCGGAATCTGAGGAAACGTAGACAAGAAGATGGGGTTTACTTGACCTCTTAGTTCATCTGGGACTGAGTGCCAGGCTGCTCCACGAGAACTTCATCTCCGTGACACTCTGCTGTCCCAACATGATGATGCGCAGATCCCTGTGCCTCGCCAGCCGCGGCCGGGAAAAAAGCGCTACCCACGGTGTGCCATGCTTGGCAGACGACATCAGATGGTACACGGATGCAAAGATCGTGAAGCCTCACAGAGGCGTTGATGATACAAAACCCACCATAGCATCAGCCCTGTTCTGAGCCAGCAGCTCACGAGAAACTTGATTGCAAAAACCTGCAAATCTGCGCGGCGCTCCAATCAATTTGGACCATGCGCTGAATTTCCCCCTTCTCTGCCTATATCCAGGAGTGTAAGGCGCTAGCGAAGAACCAGAAGCTGTAGCGAACAACAAGCAGGCCTGAGCCACGAGGTCTGGCGATTAACTGGCAGCGCGGCTCAGTGATGCAATTAGCAACTGCCTTGACCATAACAGCTGAGGCATCCACAGACGTGCACCGGTGTTCTGGGGAACAAGATGTCGTACGTCCTTAGGCAGGACTGTCTCTGACCTCCTTAGATTCTGCCGAGCCCTTGAGGTCAGAATGGTCGAAGCATGGGCAGGTCACACACAACATTCAAAGGAAGGCTGCTTAGGGCTTAGTCACTAGATGGCAAGCAGTCTTTCCAGAGCATGGTGGGCAGCGGCGCGCTACCTCGATTCATCCTTCGTCCTCCGACTCACAGGAAGCCAGCCGTTCTGGGCTGTGACCGGGCATACGGAGACCCGGATGCAAATCCTGTAAGAAGGCTTGCCAAGATGGCAACTGCAGAGATACCCTGCTGAACCTGCAGGTTGGATGTTGGGACCAACCCTTTCTCGATGCTGTCTGCCTTCTGGAGCAGCTGATTCACTTCGTCCAGAGGCGTACCCACATCCGGAGTTGTAGTTGAAGGATTTCCCAGGAAAACATGGACCGTGCTGGCATCATGCGATGCATCAGATGCTGGAAATGGAACCACCAAGTTCTGCAGGCTATCACCAAGCAGCCTTTGCTCCACCATGTCGATCTTTGAGTTCACTTGGTCGGCTATGCGATTCAGCTGGGGATCAACTTTCGAGTCGTATCTTATGTCTGCCCGCTGCAGGTCCTGATCCAGCAAAGGCACCCCATCCGGCTCTTCCTCGTATTCACCTTCTTAGTCAGCGTAAGGAGCTTCCTCGTCATAGTAAGGGTCCGGTGGACCAGGAAGCGGTGGACCGGAACCGGGCGGGCCGGGTGGACCCGGCGGGCCTGGCGGGCGCTCGGGTGCCACCCTTACCTCCTCCTCCTTTTCCTTTGCCTCTTGCGGGATGCTCTTCTTTGGCAGCCTCGGTACAACGAACTCATGGCGATCCGGATCCTGAGGCTCCTGCTGCTTGAGCTCGAGCTCCTTCAGTTCCTTCAGATTCAACTCCTTCAAGTCCGCCTTCTGTGTTTCTTCTGCAGTTTTGTCTACATCCTTCAGGTCGATCCCTTCGTTTTTCAACTCCTTCTCGATGCCACCCAGCGCAGTCTCATCAGGCTTGAGCACCACAGAAAAGGAGCACCGGTGCAGCCCTGGCCCTGGCTTGCGCCAAGGGAGCGGGAGCTGAGAACCCGTCAGAAGCTGCGCAGCGCTGCTCAGCTCCAGTCGCTCCCGCAGGCCCATGGCTTTCTTTGTTACACCATCAGACCATACCAACCCTTTCTAGCGGTCCTATGCCCAATTGTTGAACCGCAGAAGAAATTCGCTGCGATGGGCAATTCGTCATGTGACTCCCCTCGGGCTGCTGGAACTGGCTGCTGGATGTAACTGTGGCAGTGGCCGATCTGGAAAGAAGAGGTGTGCGACCAAGCCCAGCACCTTAAGCACTGGCAACTGCACCCAACGCTTCTGAGATTCTTCGCACAAAAGCAGAGCGTCAGACAGAAAGCACTGCGTGCGCAGCCAGCACCTCGGGGGGTAAGAAATGCTGAGGGCATCTCAATTCAGGCTTCGCCAAACACAAGAATCACGGCTTGTCAGCCCGTCCGACTCCCTAGCTCAGCTCAACACCATTCCCAGCTGAAGGTCTTTGCTTTCCGAGAATTTCTCGCCCTGCAGGTGCTCGCAACAAAACGGAGCTGTGCTGTCCTCCGCAGTTCCAGAGCAGAGAGCAGTCCTTCAGCTCTACGTACCGTATGGCACCGTAAGTAGCCAATGGCCTCGGCTCGACTCACTCGCCGCACGCAAGTTAGACATTTCCAACTGGGGCAAAGGCGAAGCCCACAGCAATGCGCGGCCGAGGCCTGCTGGGTGGCCAGCAAGCAGCAAGCAACGGTAGAAGCAGACGAAACACAAGCAAGATGTTGAGGCCGGGTGCCGGCAAACCAGCAGGCCGGTCCACTGATCCTTCCAGTCACGACGTGCCGTGGTCTCAATCGGGCTCACGGCACAGGACCAGATCCTGCGGCAGACGGTTGTACCAGTCGTCTCATAGCGCGCGAAGCCCCAAAGAGCAGCGTGGAGGGGCCTCAATAGCAAAAATGCGGGACAACCAGTAAGTCCTGTATGCCCCACGAATCCGAGTGTCGAACACCACAAGCCCGACAGCTGCAAGCCTCACCGGGAACTGATTCCCCAGGAGTGCGACCTGGCCCGTGCACGGAGGCTAGGCTCGCCAGCAGGAAGCGCGGGATCGCGCAACAGCCGGAAGCACGTGGCCGAACTGGATGTGAGCCGGGTCCGCGATCCTTCCGGTACTCTTCTGACTTTCATATCTGTTCCGGCGAACATGTGCACTCCCAGCATGTCAGTGCTTAAACACTGTCTCTCAGATGCAGGCGTGAGAGTCAAGCCGGTTGTGAATAACAGCAAATGCCTGGCGAGTGCAGTGCGCAGGTACTAGCCTAGCCCTGGATGGAATTTCAAGCCTGATAAATCCGCTCATGAAAACCATAAGCGAGCCGGACACTCACAAGCCACACTCTGTGTGTGGAGGCCAGGAAACCCCAAAGCGAGTGCACCTCCATCCAAGACAATACGTGGAGCAGCAGCAGATACTTTGAGGTTGCGCAGAGCTCGCTGCAATGGCTCTCTTCGTGATGGTGATTTGCGTTGGTTTTCGGGATGCGTTTGCCAGATGCGGTCTCCATCTTTGTCGAGCTGAACCGAGCCACAGAAATTGCCGTCCGCACACTGTCTTCAAACACAACCTCATTTGTAAGTTTTTCAAGGCATACTAGGCCTTATAGAAGCCTTGGAGCCGTGCAGCCTTGGAGAGTTCTCTTCGGATGCAACAGTGTCAAACATCAACACATCCGGAGATCATGATACCAGCCTCGCGGTGGGTTTTGGTCTCGAAGCGATCCAGAGTCCATTCCCAAGCCTTGCCAGCATCTCTGAAGGCATATTCCCAGAGTTGGTGCATTCAAGGTTTTGCTATCTGAACCTTTGAGATGCTGGCGACTCTGTGCAAATTGGCAAAGCGACGTTGGTGCTCGATCTCGCAAAATTTCTCCCCGTCCTCTCAAAGGCTGACTGAAAGAAGCTTTGCAAAGCGCTGCTGCGGGAAGTGGCATCACGAAAAAGCTTCTCGGCAAAGAACCTGTGTGTGCGCGGGGGCACAGAATCCGATAAAATCAACTGGCCGCGGTGTCCTGACAGACCATGGTCGAATAGAGCCTTTTGGGGTCGCAAAAGAGCTCGTTCCAATCCTCAGCACGGCTCGGAGCTGGGTGTGTGATGTGTGTGTGTGTGCACATGTTGAACGTTGAGTCCGAGAGTGTTGATGTAACACTTCAAGGTCCAATGCCGACCGTGTTGGTTCAAAGCACTGCCTGCGCTAGCTTCTGTAGGACGCTGACATCGTAGTTGGCAACATCCGGAGGCAGGAAGGCCTCGTATCCCTGATCCACAAAGGTCCAGACGAGAAAAGCCCGGAGGGTCTCTCCACTGACCAATCATTGAAAGGCTGCAAAGCAACGAATCACACTCGCTGCCAACGCTCCGCAAGGGTCGGGAACTGTTCGGGCTTATCCCCGCGGTGGAGAACCTTGTGGAGAATCTTCCTGTCCTTTTGGCCATTTTTGTCAACCTTCTCGTACCTGCAACGTTGAAAAGTGGCTAGCGATGCCCAAAACTTGTTCAAGAGCGGTCACCACTCGTCGAAGACCACGTTGTAGATCGGTCGGATGACCTGCAGATCTCTGTATCATGACGAGTCGAAGCGGCCTTGTAGGGCGAGGAATACATCGCCTTTGCCAGGAAGTTCCGGCTCCGAAATGAGGATCCATCGGAACGACTGGCAAATATTGCATGGCCGGGCATGGAGGCACAACTGCAGCGTGAAATTCAGGGGAGTCGCCCTCCGGCTCCTCCGTACAGCCCGGCTGGTCCCGGGGCTTCCTCAAGTCAGCAGAGAACTCTAAGGAAGGTAAGTCGAAGGCCCAAGGTTGCAGACCGCAGCGAGGGCCATCTCCGTCAGGAAATATACAACCTTGCAGGATGGAAAAGGAATTGGAAGGAGCTCTGCTTCCAAGGTGGTGCCGTGCTGGCCTCTGGCATGAAACGGACATTTCCGCCCTCACCCCAAACTAGCCTCGGCAGCGAAGGACAGGCTACGATGGGCTATGATGTCCCATCAGAGCTGAATCAGAATGATACTGCCCTTGCACATGGCACAGGTCTCAAAGCAGAAAGTTTGAGATGCTGAGTTATTGACAAGTATGCTGTGATCTCTGCCAGCTGCCTGAGCAAGCTCATGGACAATCTGAACTCCCGCTCAGGAGACCTTCGGAGCCTTGAGGCTTCGAGAGCATCGTCGGATCGACCTCCGTAGAGGGACGCCGGCCTCCAGTACTCGAAGATGTTCCTAATCTGAGAAATCTCGCGATTCGACCAGGTCTCCAACAGGGGGTTCCAGCGAGCTCCCGCCAGTGGCGGCAACGTGCCCTCGGCCGACCGAAACAGGCAAGACGCGAGGGCTCAGCAAACGGGGCGCAGCGCGAGTCTTGAAAGTTTGGAAATCTGAGTGAAGCAGACTGAAAGGGTGAGCGCGTTGCCTCACGTCTCTCGGGCATGTCGAAGTCATCGGAATCACAGCAGGTGCTGCGCCAGCGACGGAATCCCTGCACGTCGCAAAGCCGACAAACTGCCTAGGACATGGAGACTACTCGGGACAGCCAGATGAGCCCCCCCCTTGTCCGCTTGGCTCCTGCAGCAGCTCTGTGTAAAGCTCCCCCAGCGCTGAGGTGAGCAGATGGTCTTCCCGAACCTGTTTGTCGCATGCCAGAAGTTCTTAGTTCTCGCGTCGTCACCCTCTCGCCCACCACTGCACTACCTCGCCCCATCTCGCCCCACTCTAACTGTCAAAGAGAGCGTCCAGTATCGCATTCTTGAAGCTGCCGTTGCCGATCAGAGCTTGTTGATTCTGTTGCCAGATCCTATCGCTGTGCTTAAAGACTCACGGTTGAAGAGGTCTGGCTTTCTGGCTCACACATCATCGTTGGCCGATGGCTCTTAAACTACTGAATCCGGATGTAGGGATTCTGCTCGGCTGCAAGCTGCTGTCGCGGAGGTGCCGCGCGAAGCGGGCATCACGGTTGCACGTTCAGACTCAGTTTGAAACTCCTTCCAATCTGTGCGAGAAACCATAGCGGCAACACAACAGACTCTCGTATCTCCCGAGCTGCTCTCAGGTCCACCTCCTCCTCATCCTGCACATCCCGGTCGGCCACCTGCAAAGACCGCGGACATGCAGGTGACTACACAGAAGTGCATCGCAAATTTCACGAAGTTCAGGCCATGACTAAGGCAGAGTGCGACTGCAGCAGCGAGAGCAGGTGCTCGAACTGGTTTCTGACGCTGTCATCCTCTAGACAAGGGTTCTTCAAGGAAGTTCGTGGAAGTTCGGGGATTTGGCGACTACCCCAGCCTGGAAGTCAAAAGCATCCTGCAATGCCCCAAAGAGACTCGAAGCAGATGCAGCAAACCTGAAACTGAAACGTCTGAAGAATCTGTAACTCCAGTTCTCGCAGTCACTCAAGGTCAGCACTCGCGAGCACCAGGGAGAACCTTTGTCGCAAGGAGCACTCATTCCAAAACTCAGGTTTGGCTGGCCGGATTGACTGTGCTCTTTCCGGCTCATGACGTGGTTCTTTCCAGATTCCACGCGGTCGAATTCCGGAGAGCAATATGAATCTGAGCCGTTTGGAGGCACTCCAAATACTCATCCAAAGGAGGCAGAGAGCTCAATGTTCTCTGCATGTTGTCGTACTGGCGAGTCTTGGTGATTTCTTCTGACCCAAGCTGGGCTGGCGGCTGCTCACGGCCCAACTTGGGCCGTAACAAAACGCCACCTCACGCGTCAAACGCCCACCCTCCGATGTCCCTGGCATCCGCCTTGTGCTTCTGCTAACCACCGCTAGCTTCAGCTTCAGGTTTCGCGTACAGTCTTGAGTGCGGTTCTTGCTGCCCGTCACTCCGTGTTGGACGTTCTGCCGCTTGCTCTGATTCTCGGCGCTTCTGCACTAACAATTGCTCGTTGTCGCCTGGCCCTATGGGTCAAATCTCAAACTGCCGTGAACGACACTTCCTGCAAGCTCCAGCTACATTGTTGTGCACAAGGTTTGGTGTATATGTGCTCCACGGATAACTTCTAGATTCTAGAGAGGCTCGATGAGGCTCGCGTGAACTGAAAGGGCACGGCGTTGACCAAGTCCTGCTTGGAAACACTGCCCTCGACGATGGGAACCGGTTGACATCTCACGAACACGCCCCAGGCTGAATTGCCTGCGACAATTCTGCTGTGCTCTTCTTGTCCTTCGGATATTTCTGCGCTCTTCACGGAGCTATTCAAGTGGTCACGCGTGTGAAGGATTGTGGCAATGTACGGGACGATAAGCGCCGCAGCAACCCGTACATGGTTGCGTCCATGCACACCACAGAAAGGATCCACTGATGTGCATTGGCTTTCCGAACAACGCAGCGCATGAAAGCTGTCCACTCCGAGGTGTTTGCCCGCAGCGAGTGTGATCGCAAGAAGAAGTCCTGCATGTATCCATTTGATGCAGCTCTATGTCAGCTGCTTTCAAAGTGTTCTTGTGGCCATGGGTAGCTGGAAAGCTGGGGCCTGCAGCTCACGTGCCACGTTTGCGCCAGATGGCGCAGGGGACATGACCTCTCTGGCAGAAAAACCGTTATTTGGCTGCACGACTCAGACACACACGGAAGCTACAGCTTAGCTCGTCGCTGTCCCGTATGGCATAGAATGATCCGTAGCTGCGTCGGCTGCCTACGCAGGGGAAAAATCTGAAAGTCACACTGTCTGGCTGAAGACTTTCCGTCATCTTGAGCTTGCAAGTGCGAAGCAGGCATACAGCTCTTTTTTTGCTGGTCGGGCAGGTCACTGGCATTCGGTGACAGAGAGCCCGGCCTGTCCCGCCCGACTCCTTTCTCAGGCCTTCACCTGCTCCGACCACTTGACCAGATGACCATACACGAGACCTTAGCCTTAGTCAAAGACCTCGGAGAGCTTCACAGCTTCGCACGGTTCAACTTGTGTTGCCGGTGCCACGGATCTCTGCGGCGCCGAGATTTCTCCGAGTTCTTGCCGGCTGCCCGGGACCTCGAGAAAAAAAAACTTTGTGTATTCGGGTTGCTGCATGCGGCAAGGACTGTGGAATTATGCAATAGGCTTCCACGACGGGTCACGAGTACACAGCGCTGTTCTCGCAAAGTTTCAGCTCCGCCCGTTCGTCAGCTGGTGCCTCTGCTGAAGCAACGACGACAGATATGCTCGCTCCGCTAGTTGCACGTGTTTGCAAAGTTGCTGCAAAGCCAACACAGAAGGACCGCTTGAGGACGCACTTTGCACGCAACATGTCAATGGAGCCTTAGCTTTAGTTGCGGCTTAGCTGCTTGTAGTGACATTGCTCCCCGCGAGAACAGAACCCCTTCTGGAAGTCATGGCAATTCTTGCTGGGGAACTTGATGACCCCATCTGACGGGATAACAATCGCAACAATAACTCCTGCTGCACTTGTCTCCGAACGTATCCGAGCACTCGGCCTGGGGCTTTTTCGTGAACATACCGACAGCGGTCTCCGTTCTTGCAGCGGTCCTGGAAGCATAAGGGCCACCAGAAGGCCTACACATGATTACGCTACACCCCATCACCTTTCATGAGGCCTTATGTCCTATTACTGTGGTCACCACCGGGGTCCTCCTGGAAAGCGAAGCAGTACTTCTTACCTGGTACTCGTCGCATCTCCATCTTCTCAAGGGCTTACTGGTGCAGTCGACACAATCCCGCGCCTCTCCCAAGATCGCTCGGCGCTCTGGGAAAGGGCCTGTGCCGAAAGCAAGCACCGAACTACGGCGGCGATGGGTTTGCGACGAGTTAGAGCTGGGTCCCTGGCGCAAGGGCAGGAGCGTCCTCGATGCTGCAGGGCAGCTGTTCCAAGAAGCTGAGTCGAAGCTCGTCTTCTCTTAGCGGACGGGTCAGTATCAAGCGTTCCTTGTCTGGCAGCATTCATGGACTCTGAAAAAGTACTGTACTATTGACACCACAGCCGCAGACCCGCACGATTTCGGTTGTCACACTGCAACTGCAAGCTAGACTCGTTATAGCGATGCTCGTCGCTTGCTTTGCATACCATGAGCTTCCCGCCTGCATCAGAAACACTGTAAACAACAAACATTCGCATCACCGAGCCTGACAGAATCTGAAGTGCTCGAGCAGCTGCCTCTCAAGTCAGATGGAGGCACACGGGAGTCCAACGCACATGGTCACGCGTGTAATACTCGTCTTTGTTCCAGCTGTGCGCCTCCCAGCCGTCCAAGAATCGGATGACTGCCCTTCCAGTAGCGCGGCCATCAGTTCCGATGACCTCACTTCCGTATGAGAACACAGGCAGCATGACTCTTGCTTCGATGGGGTTCGCGCGATGTAGAGCAAACTCTTCCTTACTGCCGCCTCGTGCTCAAGATTGCGAAAAACACTGGAAGTTCGAGCTGCACACAGCGTTCTTGCGTCTTCTCGCATGTGCCTCACCGAGATATGTCTCCATCCAGGCTGACACATCCTGAGTTGCAGCTGACAATTCTGGCAGGCGATGCGAAGCTAGCGAGGCCTCTCTTCAAGACCAAGCCACTGCAGAAAGTGCGTGGAAGGGAAGCCCGTCCAGGCAGAGTCGCGAGTCCTGCGCAGCTGAAACACGAAGCATGCCATACTGGAGCCCACCGAAAGCTTGGAGAAAAATGTTCACTCGGGGCCCTCCTGTCTTTCACCAGCAAGAAACGATTCAGTCTCCTGGGCCGGCGAGACGAAAGGTAGTAGATTCTAGCAGTCTAGCATGCAGCGCCTTTGACGATGCGAGGGGTTAGGTGACCGCCGAAAATGTACGGCCACTGAAAGCGAGTCGCGACGAAGAAGTTGATGGGTTGCAAGGGCGTTCCCAACTTCAGAAGCTGCTGAAGGGCTAACCTCAGCTTGGCAACTCGTAGATTCCTGTGGGCTCTTCTACTAGCTTCCAAGGATACAGCCAAGTGGCAGGACCATCCACGAGTCATCTAATCCACAGTGCTCCGTCCCCACCATTTCAACTTGCAGCGAATCGCAGATCTCCCGCAAGCTCGAGGCACGTACACCTGCAGCAATCCCCCCTCTTCTCAAGCTCTTTACACGTTACGACTCCACTGCGCAACTCTGCTCATCCGCTCTCTCGCACTTCGGCCGTTCCTGCCTCGCTGTCCACTTGCCAGAACTTGTCTCTGCGCGGCAAGTCGCAAGTCTGCATAGGACCTGTAGGCATCGTTTGCAAGTTCACGTGTGTCCGCCTGGAGATATGACTCTAGTACTGAAATGCAGCCGCGGCTCTTCAGCACTTCGGGCACTTCCAGTCCCAATGCCTGCTGCTGGGCCATGCTGGACCGCATGGGCTGCGTGAGCGCATCTCGGCCTTGCAGTGCATTGGCAGGATCAGCTCCAGGTCAGCGCTGCCATGGGTCACGGCGCAGCAGGGCCTGCAAATTGCATCAAATTGCAAAGGGCTGCCCACCGCGGAGGTCGGGATGTTTGAGTGTCTTGGAGCTCTTTTGTCCACGCTCATCTGCTGAGGTCCTAAACACCATCGTGACTGCAGCCTTTGGCAATCAGAAAGGCAAGTGGAGGCATCAGGTGTCCGATGCCGACGTCAAAAACACTGCACCCGGCATCCGAAACACCCTGCAATCTGCTGGTCAGACATGTTCACGACGCATCACGACGCTAGCGGCTAGCGCTAGTGTCTAGCGCAGTGCAGGAGCCCAACCTCTGTGAATCATGAACTCCTCAGTGCAGGCAGGACAAAGGCCCAAGAGAAAACATCAACATACATTGACAAACTGCATTCGCTGATAGAGACGACGGCACTGTACAAAACCAGACTCTCTGGTCATGTGCTTGACTCCACCAAATCTGCATGAAGATTGTTACATCAAAGCTTCATAGGCCAACAGTGGCAATCCCATCAAAGGAGCCCCAATCAGCTTCTTCCTGGTCAGGGTGCTACAAGTAATTGGATGTGTCGCTTCCACACAAACGGGCGCTCGTTATAGTTATGCAGCTCCCACGCTCCTCATTCCGCTCCACAGCACCAGGCGGGCAGCGTGCGGCTTGGAAATGCCGAACTTAACGAAGTGCGCAAAAACACCTCACCAAAAATCGCCAGCTTGTGCGCTTTCCACTCGCTACTACAGGTAGGCTACGAGGCCACGAGTACTACGAGACTAGGAGCACTTTAAGTTCTAGGCCAACAGATAACTTGCAACCGACGCCATGTCCTGCTTAACAAAGTACAGTTCATGGTTCATGACACATGTTTACCGGGTCCGACTCTGCCGACACCAAGCCGCTGTTGGGCGTGCTTGGCCCTCTTCTGGAGACGTGCCATGTCAGCACATTCTCAAACGGCGTGCCGACCGCGACCATGACCACGCCAGAGAGGCTTGCAGCGGAGGCCCACGCGAAAATATCCTTCTCACCAGAAGCATCTACGTGGTGGTGAACAAGTATTGTCGCGTTCGTCTTGAACCATTCGTAGCTTGCAAAGAACGTGACCAACGAGCAGGTCTCCTGTACCAAAACAAAAGGATAGTTCCGGAAGCATCCCGGCAACCCGCCTCTCCCATACAATTCGCGAAAAGATTGGCTCAGCCCCTTGTGCTCCAACCGCTGCACTGCAGCAATATTCTCTTCACGTCCCAATCGCATGTTGTACAGAGGCGTGTGCATTGTAGCTTGCACGACACCAGCTGCAGAAGCAGCAGCCGCTTCGCATCTGAGAGGGCTATCTGCGATCATGGGATGCTCCACAGCTAGCATGTGCAATGACAGTCGCGCATAAGTGTAGGTATGGAACATGGACATAGCAACCACGGCATTGGCTAAATACGGACCTGTAGTCTTAAGTCCAATGCCTCGGACTCCGCGTTTCTTGTGCTCCTCGCGCAATGCACCCAAGATTCCAGAAGGATGAACTCGAAAAGCATCCAGTGGACTGACGACTTGTCGGCGAAAGAGACGCCACGGGTTCCTTACGGCTGCCTCAGCAGAGACGAAAGCCTTAGCCTTGGCAAACATCATGCACTTCTTCGCGACAACTGTGGCAGACTTCGCAAGCCAAAGAAGCTTGAACTTCATTGCGATGAGGGCTTGAATCAATGCCACACCACTCAATGGCCGAATCAGGCCTGTCACGGCCCGAACCAACCCTGCCGAAAATGCTGATTCCTCCTCCCGAGCCAAGAGCCTCAAGGCAACGGCATCGGCTGAAGCACCTTTCTCGATCCATGCACAGAGTTCTTCAAACGACACAGTGGTTTCGCTTCCACCACCGCTTGTGGCCACCTCTGCAAAAACACTGCGCTGCTCCTCCTCGCTCTGTTTCGACAGCGGAAGCTGTAACGCGGTCGCCAAAGCCACGAACTCGTGAAAGTTCAGCTCGGATGTCCCATCGTCTCCCAGGCGACCATGACGGCTGTACTCAGCATGGAGGGCCGCAAGCTGCGTCGGAAGCAAGTTTGATGCAGAGGGTTCGGCCATTCATTTCTGTTGCGCGTCACCGGCAGGTTTGAACAATACTCTAGAGTCCGCATCAGGCGATGAGACGATACGTTAAGCGGCAATACTGGATTGAAAGGAACATCAAGAAGCGTCAATTGTTGCCTGTGAAGATTCTAGACCCAAGCTTGAACTTGGATGAGTCTGCGAAGCCATTCTCCGCATGACATGAGTGAAAGCTGTCTTGTAACTGTAGGAGGGCCGTGCCCCAAGCTAAAGCCAAACGAGCTGCGAAACCCAGCTTGACCCGAAACAGTGGCTTCTTGCGGCTAAGGGCCTGCCTTCCACGCAGTGGCTCCTCGTCCAGCGCTCTGCAAAGGGCTTGGAGGGCATCAGCAAGGGATCCTGCCGATGCAGATCTCCGGTCATGTCAGCCGGTGCGATCGAGACGACTTTCTCAGCGCAATCTTCACAGCCCAGCGCTCCTGCATCTGCGAGCGTTGCATCACTGATGCCGGTCAGCTCGGTACAGAAACTTGTAATAGGAGTCCTTCCGTGCTGGCAAGCTGATTTCATCAGCTTTCGGTGACAAGCCTCCCAACTGCAGCGTACGATAACATCTCTGGATGGCAATCAGTTAGTCTTCCAAACCGAGTTCCGCTGAAATCTTGACATAGTGGGGCTTACTGTATCGCGCTTCGTGGCAGGATGTGATGTAGTAATGTCTGACTGCATCAGTGAAGAATGTCCAGACGACTCGCTGCGGCGTCCTGGAATTCTTGCAGTAGTGCTGCCCTTCGAGGACCATCCTTTGTGCCTGAATGCCGTCACAATGTTTGCAAGAGATGGACTGACGACACGGGCTGCAAACGGTCTCCTTCGCATCGTAGATCACGAATGAAAACTCGATGATCTCAACGTTATCGCTGTGAACCTTAAGTAGTCTGATTCACACGATCGCGAAGCGAGGCAACAGTGAAATTGAAACGTCTCTGCACATGAAAGCCGTGACATTGAACTGCCTGACGGTCTTCACCGTCATCACATGTCCATTCGAAGTCCTGACATGCAGCCCTCCCCCATGCCAGTGCGACCGCTCGCGCGGGGTCTCCGGAAAGTGCAGCGCAACTAAGCTCCGGTCCATGCAGATGTAAATCTCCGCTTGGGAGGGATTGCACCAGCGAGCTCGTGGCACCGGCCGCCTGAGGGCACAGGAGGTCTACGTGTCTTGGTCGAAGTCTGGGCTCGTGGCGAAGGCTTCGCCGGCCTGAGAAGCACGGTATCACAGGTGCGTCAAAGGATTCTGAACGATGCCACGACCCTCATTACGATCCGTTTCTCAAGCTCCGGCAAGGCAGGAGAAGCCGATTGCCGCTTGACCTTTCAGGCTTCTCCGACAAAGCTTTGCAAGTGGCATCTTTGTATTCGTGATCCTCGCTGAACACAGCGAAGCCACTGATCAATCAGTTTAGCAACGTCAGTCATGGTGTTGTAAATCTGGTGTATATGCAGATGGACATTATCAGCTGCCTCTGCATCATCGCACGAACTGCTCGAACTCTGTGAGGACTCGCCTGTTGGTTTGCGACCTGCAGGACTCCGGAATGAAAATTTCAGCAAGGCATTACTCACTGCCCCTTCACTACAGAAACTGTCAGCCTGGTTCCTGCGCATGGGACAGAGCGTCGCGCCTGCGAAGCAGAGGAAAGACCCCGCGCCCGTCGTTGTCTGCAATTCTGAACATCGGTCACCAGATGAGTTCTGAATTTTTCCGGCTTTTGTATTTGTTGTCCGCTTCCCTTGTGTATGCTCTCTTCCCTGCTAAGAGTATGGTATTTTGACGGTGGCCCTTGTGATGTGCCCCTGAGTACTGCGATAGCACTGTTTAGGGATCTAAGCTCGGTTCATGGATTGACCAGCGGGAATTTCGTTTAGGTCGGGGCAGATCAGGGTTTTGATGACGATCCGGCAATGTAGGGATCCAATGAGATTTCGGCTCACCATCTTAAACCCGCTCAGTTCCTTCGGCGATTCCGGCGCAGCATATATCCCAAACACGCCCCTTCATTGGGCGATTCTGGTTCATCATATATCTTAAACAGGCCCCCTCATCTGGCGATTCCGGTTCATCGTATATAACTCAAACACGCCCCCTCCTTCGGCGATTCCGGTTGATCACACATCTTAAACACGCCCCCTCATTTGGCGATTCCGGTTCATCATCTGGTTCATCATCTCTCTTCAACACGGCCCCCCCCCCTTATTTGGCGATTCCCACCTTCGTCGGGCGATACCGGTCTATCATATAGCTTAAACACACCCCAGCCCAACGAAGCGATTCCGAATCATCTTGATCTCAGACACGCGCTGTCATTTGGCGATTCCGGTTCATCATATCTGTATGCACCCGCCCTCATTTCATGTATCTTAAAGCCCGCCCCGCCCCCCCCGCCCCCGCCATTTGGCGATTCCTGTTCAGCGTATGCCTTTAATACACGTACGCATTTCGTGGCTCCGGTACATCATATAATATATCTTAACCCACCCCCACACCCCATTTGGCGATTCTGGCTCATCATGTATCTGAGACACGGCCTGTCATGTGGCGATTCTGGTTCAGAGTATACCTTAAATACCCCCGCCCATTTGGCGGCTC